AAAAAAGGCCTCGCTGCACGTGGCCGGGTGCCGGCCCGGCCGGTAGTCGTCGCAATGCAATCCATCCTGTCCCTTGGCAGCCGCGGTTTTCGCGTCTGTAGAATGGGAATGTTCCTATCTACCCTCGGGGGCTACTCGAACGAAAATAGAGGAATCGCAAAAACAATGTTGAAGGGAAAGACGAGATGAGGCGAGGGTGGCTTACAAGCTTTAGAGAATGTTCCCTACCTCTCTGTTCCGGTCCCCTGGTACACAGAGGGTTCAAAAAATGTTGGACGAGTAGTTAGGAATTGAGGGAGTGTGCCAGGTGAACACAGGAAAACATAAATTCGGAGGCGGGGGGGGGGTATTATTACATCACGGAAGACTTTCCGTACCTGTTTCCATTTCTCTAATGCGGTTTCTAAACGGCCTCTGGACCAAATTCCGAGGGGCTGTCTCTGCAGTCCCCCTCAGATCCCAAGACTCTGCCCTCTGAGTCTTGAATTTCAAAAATTGGTGGAGGAGGCCAGAGGAGGGGATGCACAGACCCCCAAAACAGTAAAGCAAAGAAAAAGTGAATCCCCAATAAAAACCCCCATAATGGAGGACCGCCTCTCCGCAGCGTGGTCAATTTCTTACCCTTCTTGAGTTTCTGTATAGCCTCCTGTGAAATGAAAGTCTGGACAAAATTATTATTTATTGCCTGTCTCCCATTCGTATGGAATTGAGCTGATGAGAACTTGGTCTTAATCACCACTGCACCCTCACTGCCTAGAGCCATGCCCAGACGTAGTAGGTGCTCGATAAATATTTGTAAGTGAATGAATGACTCCCCAGAGTATTTTTCTCTTGATAAAAATCAGGATATTGGAATATGGCCGCCTCCCATCCCCAGAAATATAAGGAGAGCTTGGTACGATGGCTTGGAGTAAGGGTGTAGAAGGGGGTGGGGGTGCCACAAAAATACCTCATTCTGGGGCTGGGGTAAGAGAGGGTTCCTGTAAGGGTATGAGTGATGGTCCCTCCTGGCCATGACGACAGAAGCAATTCCTTTCCATCCAATAACATTGGATGGAAAGGAATTAGGAAGGCTGGCCTCCCCACTGCCCTTTGCAGAGGCCAGAGGTAAAGGCCCCAAAGTGGGGCTGGAGTTTAACGAATGGGGGAGGAGGCGGTTCTGTTGCTCAAAACTCTCACCCCCTAACAGGTTTCCAGTTCTCATGAGAGGAGAGCCCAGGGTCCTGCTGGTCTAGACTTCAGGTTCCTAAATGCCCCAAAGGTTCCCTGCCCCCCCTCCCCACCCCCCCAGAGAAAAGTTCTAGAAGGATGATGATTTCACCGCTGCTCTTCTGGGTGGCTGTGCTGAGAGCTCTTACCCTGAGACAGCAGTGCCTGCTTTCTTCTGCTTGTGGGGCAGAAGGGCATCTGCTTCAAGCCAACGTGACTCCAGCCTCTTTGCAGCTGCGATGCCTGGAGAGAAGGCTTGGGCCCCACCTGCAGGAGCCTGGACACGCAGATCAATGACCTCCTCCTTCTCCCACTCCGAAAGCCACCAGCCCCCCCAATTCTGAGTTTAGGGGCTTTATCGGTGCCCCTTGCTATTGAGAGTCCTTCCCCGGAGAAGGAATTCCCTCCACCCCTGCTTCCCCTCCTTTCCCTTCCTGGAAGCAGGCCCCGGGGATAGAGCCCAGGTGGCATGGAAGCACTTTGCAAACAGCAGGAATCGGCGCACCTCCCCAGCTGAAAGGACCTAGAATAATCCCGCCTCCGTTTTCAGAGCCCTTGAACTGGGGGAGCCAGCTGTCCATCCTGGGCCGGTCACCTGGACACTTGGAGTCTCCATGTCCCTATCAGAGAAAAGGGGACAACAGTAGCTGCCTCACCTCACCCCACTGTCAGGAGGGTGGGAACATGATGGGAGAGGACTGGCCCCCCTCTTGCAATTCCCGTTACCTACAGTAGAGGTCACTCGACCCCGTCCTCAGCCAGTGGGATGAGAAGGCAACAACACCCTTCTCAGAACCCCTGTTTCCCCTTAGGAGAAAAGGGGACAAGGCTAGATGCGGGGTTCCAACGGACGCCTCCAAAATAAGGCGTATTCTATACCCCCCGAGGGACCTGGAAACCAGCCCTTCCCGGACCGTGGGCCAGAGGCCTGTGTTCAAGAATTTGGGAGCGACGCACCTGCCTAGTTGCCCTTCCCTGGAGGAAGGCAGGGCAGGGAACTGGCCCCAGAGATCCAGGCCAATAATAACTCCTATGGCACTAAGAATTGTATGTTACTTTATCCCCATAACAATTTTATAAGATTCTATGTATATTGTATATACATATATTTTTGTTAATCCTCACCTGAGGACATTTTCCTATCAGGGGGAGAAAGAGAGAGAGAGAGAGAGAGAAACTTCGATCGATGTGAGAGAGACACATCGATTGGTTGCCTCCCGCAGGCGCTCCAACCAGGGCCAGGGATCAAGCCTGCCACCAAGGTCCCTGCCCTTGGCTGGAATCGAACCCCGACCCTTCACTCCGCAGGCAGACGCTCTATCCACTGAGCCAAGCTGGCTAGGGTGATGCTATATTTTTTAAATTTTACATACCATACATAGCCCAATTTCAGTGCCCAATTCAATGATTTTTTATTAAATTTGTAATTCTATGACAAACACCACCATCCAATTTTAGAATATTTCCTCCCCCCCCCCCCCCCTTAAACTAACTACTCATTCCTACCCCCAGCCCCCAGTGACCAATCTACTTTCTGTCTCTCTAGAGCTTCCTTTTCTGGACATGTCATAGAAGCAGAGTCACACTATGTGTGGCCTTTTACATCCGACTTCTTTCACAAAAGCATAATGTGGGATTTTTAATCCTCACCCAAGGAGGGTATGGTTTTTATTGATGAGAGAGAAAGAGAGAGAGAGAGAGAGAGAGAGAGAGAGATCGATCAGTTGCCTCCCAAACAGACCCTATCTAGGGATCGGACCTGCAGCCTAGGTATGTACGCTGACAGGGAATCAAACCCGCAACCTTTTTGGTGTGCGGGACAACACTCCAACCCACTGAGCCACCTGGCCAGGGCGAAAGCATAATGTTTTTGAGGTTCATTCCTGCTGTAGCATGTATTAGAGCCCCTTTTACTGCTGAGTCGCGTCCCATGGTGTGGAGATACCAGTTTGTTTATCCATTCACATTCGGGTTGCTCCCACTTTTCAGTTACTATAGATAATAGTTATGAACATTTGCATACAAGTCTTTGTGTGGACATAAGTGTTCATGTGAAAAGTAGAATTTCCAGGTCACATGGTAAATCCGTGTTTGACTTTTGAAGAAACTGCCGAACTGTTTTCTAAGCTGGCCATCCTGTGCCATTTTACACTTCCATTAATGTCCGTGTTATACATGAGGAAAGTGAGAGACAGAGACTTTAAGTGAGATTTGCCCAAGGTCACATTGCTAGCAAGTGTCAGAGCCGGGACTCAACCCAGGTCCCAAGTCCGTGCTCATAACCAAGAGTCTGTCTACCCCATGACAGTGAATCGCAGAGGGGAGCCATTTCTTGCCCTGCCACACCGTAGGCACCACCATTTTGCCTGTCTTGCTTCTAGAATCTCCTAAGGCAGGATCTGGGTTCCAAACCTGCAGGGATGCATCACCCCTTACCCATGCCCACACTGTGCTCTACTCCCAGAAATGTGCACCTAGAGTTAATAGCTTAAGTTCTGGACTCAGGTGGGTCTATGCATATGCCAGACTCATCATTTTACCAGCTGTGTGATTTGGGGGCCAGTTACCTAACCTCTGCTTTCATTTCTTCATCTGTAAAACAGAAATAGCATCTTCCTTCATACAATTAAAAATGTTTGATTATGTAGAGTCAATAATATTGCAATAACTACTCATGGTGCCAGGTGGCTACTGGAAATATCAGGGGAAACACTTTGTGGTTTTGTTTTGTTGGGTTTTTTTACATATAGTTGTATTGATTTCAGAGAGGAAGGAAGAGAAAGAAACATCAATGATGAGAGAGAACCATCAATCGGCTGCCTCCTGTACACCCCCCACTGGGGACCAACTGGGATCCAGCCCAAAACCTGGGCATGTGCCCTGACCAGGAATCCAATGGTGACCTCTTGGTGCATGGAAGGACGCTCAACCAACTGAGCCACACCAGCCGGGCTTAACTCCCTTTTGATCTGTACATTCCTCCTTTATCTCTTCTTGTTTTCTCCCCACAACCTATTCGCTGAAGATACCAGACTATCATCTAGGTTTCCCACAGTCTGGAATTGACTGATCGTATCCCCAGGGTGTCCTGTAATTAAGTAATGTTTATTCAATAACATTTATTAAACATCTACTATGCACGGGATTGCCAAATTTAGCCCAAGAAATACAGAACATATTTATGCTAAAAAGTATTTATTGTTTCTCTGTAATTCAAATTTAACTGGGCGTCCTGCATTTCACCTGGCAGCCCTATCTATCTACGTGCCTAGCTAGTGTTGGAGGCACAGTGGTGAGCAAGACAAACAAACCCCCCACCCAGAAGCTTACATTCTAGTAAACTAGGGGGAGCCAGGTTATATTCAAGCAGACAGTGTTCCTCCCGGGGATGCAGTGAGGAGTAAATGAGAACCCCGTGTTTAGCGCCTGGTCCATGACGCCCTTGATAAATGCAAGTGCTCTTGGCAGTAGCTTAGCCTTTTCCCCTTCTCCTGTTTCTTCCCTTTTCCCATCCCTACTCCACATCCCCAGGAATTATTCCAGACTTGCCCTCCTGCTATACCTTCTTCACATGTTTACAAGGAGCCCATTCATCTATTTATCCAGAGTCACTGAGCATCCACCTTGTAGCCAGCCCCAGGCCAGGCCCTGGAACCTCAGAAATGACGGAGACACAGTCTGGTGGGAGAGATGGGTGCTCCGGCTCATTTGAGAAGTAGCAACAGAGGAATGACCATCGTCCAGACAGGGTGACCTTGAGGAGGGAAGTCTTTTCAGAGAAGATAACCTTCCACGTAGGTTCTAAAGATGAGCAGGACCACAGAAAGGAGGCATGGGAGACGAGTTCCAGAGGCGAGCAAGCGCCTGACCTGTTGCTGCCACCTGCAGCCATCGGCAGCCACCTACTCCTGTTAAGTAGAGAGGATGCCCTGGCAGTGGTCCTGTCCCATCTGCCCTCTCAGAGGCATCCTGTGTCTCTCTTGTATGTCTCTCCCCTTAAAAAGCCAAATCTTCCCTGGACCCTGCAGGCTCTAGCCCCCATCTCTCCTCCCCTTCATAGCCACACTTCCCACAACAGCTGTCTAGACACTGTCTTCCTTTTCTCACTTCCCACTAACTCCTCAACCCACTTCCATCTGCTTCTACCTCCACTGCCACCAAAATAGCTCTCGCTGAGGCCCCAGTGGCCTCCGTCTCTTTAAAACTGGCCGGCTCTTGTCAGCCCTTCGGTCTTGACCTCTCAACAGGGTCCCACGGGAGTGGCCACTTCCTCCTTCCAGGAACTTTCTAGTCCCCAGCCTTCCAGGCACCTGGCTCTCCTGGTGTCTTCCTGCCTCGCTCTGTTTCCCCTGGGTCTTCAGCACAGGCTCATTCTCCCTCCCTCAGCCCAAAGGTTCAGTGCAGAACTTCTCCCTTCTCTCTCTGGACAGTCTCCTGTGCCCACTCCACAGTTACCGTCCGGCCACCGGGGAGCTCGGCCCACGCAGCTCCTCTCCGCTCCGACCGTGACACCTGGCTGCCCACCCGGCTCCTATCTCAGGCATCTCAAAAGCCCGGCAAGCCATTAGGGACCCCCTCCCCTGCCACACTGTCCATTTCCAAGGAAAACCTTCCCGTGTCTGGCTCCTGCATCCACCCACTTCCACAGCCAGGGGTCATCCTGGCACCTCCCAGCCAACGCCTCAGCCAGTCCTGTGCTCAGGACGCTCCACGTCTGCCTCCCCAGCTCCATTCCAGCCCACTCCAGCAGCGCCCCCACATCCTGCCATGCCCTCTGCATAGCCACCTGTTATCT